TCACTTTTTTTGCAGTTTCGGCTTCATCTGTAAGACCGAGTGTTGGCTCGCAGCTGGTTCCTCCTCCATCAGATAGAACAACTACATCTCTGACATCTGAATACTCCCTCTGAAAACATAGATTGCTTTGACCTTCTCAGCAGCTTTTTCTATTTGAGGAAACAATTTTCGTTAATTGATTGCCAATAAGATCTCTATCTCTCGTTCTTTATGAATATCAGCAATCTGCTTGCGAGACCGTATAAGAGTTCACACGAGAGTTCTTTTTGATCTTACAAGGGAGGTGTTTCAGGTCATGGCGCGCTTTTTGGAAATGGTTTGTTGCTTGTTGTAGGGGTCCATACAAGGATCACAAAAATGGGTTTCATTTTTGCTATGCGTTTCTGGGTAGGTCAAAAACTGAGTGAAAAGAATTTGACAGGAATGGGCGGTTTTAACAATGTTAATGGGCTCCGTTCTGCTTGTAACTTCGAGCATGCATAGTTTATGAGGTGGTCACTAATTAGGCCTCAAAATAGATTCGATTAAAGTCAAAATGTAAGTATCATGTGGTACAATGATATGCACTCACTGCAAATGGCCAGGCTGTCCTGTTGGCCTTTCCTGGATGACACCTTACAAACCAGCACAGTTGTGTGGAGAACCTTGTTTCCGGAAATGTTCACGTCTCGTTGCGTTGATACAGATGCAAAACTGTTGCCGCAATGAGGATCCGAACCGAGTCCCGCATTGTCGTGCCATCCAGAATCCATCGTGCTATCCGCTACGCCATCCGATCCGCCAGCAATGGTCATGAAGGGAGCGCTGACAAAAACATCACTCTTGCGTCGGTGCATGCCAAGTGTGTTACCACATGATACTTACATTTTGACTTTAATCGAATCTATTTTGAGGCCTAATTAGTGACCACCTCATAAACTATGCATGCTCGAAGTTACAAGCAGAACGGAGCCCATTAAGTTGTTAAAACCGCCCATTCCTGTCAAATTCTTTTCACTCAGTTTTTGACCTACCCAGAAACGCATAGCAAAAATGAAACCCATTTTTGTGACCCTTGTATGGACCCCTACAACAAGCAACAAACCATTTCCAAAAAGCGCGCCATGACCTGAAACACCTCCCTTGTAAGACCACCGCCCACAAGGGCACCATGAATTTATAAACAATGGAAAGGACTTACGACTGACGATGAATAAACAGACGAAAGTACATTCCCGGACTTTTCTGATTGCAGGAGCACATTTGCTTGCAATTGGGAAGCCCTATCTAGAAGTTACACCTTCCAAACACCTGCGTGAAAGCCCCATGCATGGCGCATTGCAGAGGTGATGCCAATTGGCGCCCAATGGCCTTCCTGATACCCTTTGCGAAAACATGTGTTTTAGAAGCATACCAAAGTCTTCAAGCCAACTGGAGGTTTCATGGCCTCGGAGGGGCTGATTTTTCGTGTCGTGGGGGGGGGTGGTCACGAAATGATCACAACGGGGAATTTTTTCGAATAGCAGGCCTAGGAAGAAAATTAAAGCCTTGCTGGAAAGTAGAAATCTTCAAGCTTCCGGCACAATTCTTTTTTTTTACGAAAGGCCGTGTATGAAGCTTGCCATGGACGTCCAAAGCGTAGCGACTCGCGGTTCGCAAAAATGATCACAGACGGATCACAACGGGGAAAATCTCTGGAATCGGAACGTTTTCGAAATCGCTCAATTCAGGTGACAAGAGCCAACCCAGCTCTACTCACTCACACTTACCCCTCTCCGATAGCTTCACTTTCACCGAAATTATGGATGTTCAAGTGAGGGGTAGTTCACACGTAATTGGCTTGAAATTGGCTCCAGGCCGTGAAATAGCGCGCACCAATGAGCTTGTATGAGCGCGCTGACCGCGAACAGCCAAAATTCAAAAGTAATCCATAGTTCCGGTTCCCAGCTGGCCTGGTGAGTTTTTTTCTTATCCATTTGATTGTGAATTATTTTGATTGTTTGTTTTTGTGAGTTTGATTTTGTTTGTTGAGTTTGATTTTGTTGTGAGGAAATTGCTCAGGATTCAATTTCTACGGTTTCATAGGTAGCTTTTGCAATGATTCTTTTCTAGATTTTGCGGATTAGTGGATTGGGATTTATCCTAGAGCCAGATGAGGAGGTTGGTGGGCGATGTGTCTTGAAGTTTTTTTGTGAGGAAGGAGGAAAAGTTTCAGCAATATTTTTTTTAGTTCTTGGCCTAGGAATAGTTCGATTGCCTAGTTCTATTTATTGTCATCTACATCGTCCCTTTTGAGCTTCTTTTCACTTGTACCGTGTATCACCGCTCTCTCCACTTCAACATGGCCATGCGTTAGACCCCCCTCCTCCTCAATGCAAGCAAACATACGACCCGCCCTTGTGATCACAAAGATGGCGTGCCTGGGCACTAAGCTCGCTGTGCCGTTGCCTCAATGCAACTCCGGAGTGACGGCTATGCAACTCCGGGATTGCTACCTCGCGGCGCGTCGCTGACTTGCCGACGGTAGAATCGCCCGCGTGACGGGGTTCTCCAGAGCTTACTAAATACGGCATATCTTCATACTGTACCCTTGACCTCAAGTAACCCTCCTACTAATTTACTTCCCGTAAGGATCATCCTTGTCAGGGCACATCATTGGTGGGGGATTTTATTCAAGTCCGTACGACCCCCCCCCCTCCGGCCCTCTGTTCCTCCTCATCGAATCGAGCCGTCGAGCGGGGGGGGGGGAGGGGCATATAGTACGCATGAAACAGGAAAATCACCAAAAGTCAACCGCCACTCCCACAACGCCAAAACGTAAATACGACCCCCCCCCTGATCAAAAATGATCAAATACGACCCCCCCTTTACAACGTCCATGAAGCGAGAAAAATCAACTATCAAAATAAATTTTTCTCAGCCCAAATACGACCCCCCCTCGCAGCTCGGCCGCTCGACATGCAACATGGGTCGGCTCATGAATAATGGCGTTTTTTCCACTCGAAATATCGCACTGTGGAAGAAAAGTTTTGAAACTTGAGTTTTACACCATTTTGCAGAGAATTCCTTGCCCTACGCGACAGTATTCTTAGTTTTCTTCAAGTTTGTCTTTTCACTAATATTTTATTGATAAAAATGGGGGGGGGGTGTCAGGTCGACGGAATTGAGCATTTTCGACAGCCTCTCTTTTATGCCTCTAATTAAAAAGCTAAAACCGCATGGGTCCAGCTGCTAAGTATGTAGCTGAAAGGCTACGTCTCTTAGGAATACTAATAATACTTTAAGTGATTCGAAGTTTCCAGTTTCGACCTCACAGACAAGCATCGAACCTAATGCCCTATTCTGTCCAACTGAGAGCTTACGGAATTACCTTATTAACTGAGAATCATGCCAGAAGATTGAGGGATCGTTAGAGGTCATAGAATGCTTCCTTATCATTATCGAACATCACTCTCACTCGAGTGGAGAACTTAGTGGATGGGTTCTGCAGGCATGATGGGCCCCCCACGCGATATCTTTTACAACTCCAAATTCTCCACCAGTTGGTAGCTTGAACCAACTTCAAGCTATCATAAGAAGCATCTTTCGTTGGTCATATATACCACAAGGTTTGAGCTTCTTCTGTAGATTGAGAGCCGAGATACAATTCAAAAAGTAGTTGTCGAAAACTCACTTTTGGGTCGACCCGAATTTTCCTTTTAATGAAATAAAAATCGGCGGAAATCATGAAACAGTAGGGAGGCAACCACCTATCTTATAGAGCAGGAAATTATCTATCGAACAGTGTAGGACATATTGGGAACAATTGTCGTTGTTTCATATAAAAATTTGTGTGACAAAAAACGCCATTACTTATGGGCTCACCCAATACTTAGAAACTCAGTTACAAGGAGTGAAGTGAGATAACCTCTCATCTATTCTTATCAATTGATATAGTCGCTTGTCACATGTCACCAAT